ATTTGTATTTGCTCGCAGTGGACATAGTTTGATGCGCTCCCCATGATATCAAGCGAATGGCCGAGGGCCCTCTTGATTGGTGTGAGTTGCCAGCATGATGCAAGCCATATGTGAATTGATCGAAGAAGGATAGATTTACCATCACTGTGGATAAGAGTCATACTGTAGCTCAGTTGGTTAGAGCATTGCTCGCGAATAGCAAGGTCCCTGGTTCGAGTCCCGGTGGTGTGACTGATGATTTTTTCTTTCTTTCATATCTGGCTTGCAAGTGTTGAGTTTCGGAGAGAAAAGAGCAGTAGGTGGCATGTGGCCTCTAATTTCCTAAAAACTTTGAAATTCTCCGTGAAGTCCAAATTTGAAATTGCAATTTGTATTTGCTCGCAGTGGACATAGTTTGATGCGCTCCCCATGATATCAAGCGAATGGCCGAGGGCCCTCTTGATTGGTGTGAGTTGCCAGCATGATGCAAGCCATATGTGAATTGATCGAAGAAGGATAGATTTACCATCACTGTGGATAAGAGTCATACTGTAGCTCAGTTGGTTAGAGCATTGCTCGCGAATAGCAAGGTCCCTGGTTCGAGTCCCGGTGGTGTGACTGATGATTTTTTTCTTTCTTTCATATCTGGCTTGCAAGTGTTGAGTTTCGGAGGGAAAAGAGCAGTAGGTGGCATGTGGCCTCTAATTTCCTAAAAACTTTGAAATTCTCCGTGAAGTCCAAATTTGAAATTGCAATAATAATAATAATAATAATAATTCTGGCCCATGAACAAACTGGCTGTACTCGTAACCGAGGAGGCTGCACTGACCAGCTGCTGATCAATGCTATGATTACCCAGGATGCTAGGCGTCATCACCGCACCTTGGCAATGGCTTGGTTGGATTTTAGGAAAGCGTTCGACAGCCTATCGCAGGAGTGGCTAGTCGAAGTCACACGTCTGTACAAATTCCACCCCAAGATCACTTCGCTCTTGTCTGTGCTCTCATCGCAGTGGCGTACCCGGCTGCGCTTGGGAGCTGACATGAGTGAGGCAATACCGATCCGGCGAGGCATTTTCCAAGGTGACTCGTTATCCCCTCTGCTCTTCTGTCTTGGATTGAATCCAATATCAGGTGAACTCAGCAGAAGTGGCTTTGGATATGCGTGCGGACTTCAGCGGACAACAACCGTATCCCACTTATGGTACATGGATGATGTGAAGCTGATGGCCGCAACCATTAAGCAGCTTAACTCAATGATCAACATAGTATCGTGCATTGGGAAATCCATTGGAATGGAGCTTTCTCCAGCAAAGTGTGCTAAGCTTGTGTGCCCACATGGTGCTGTTGATCCAGATCAGCCAGCAACTGTCACAGTAGATCAAGCCTCCAGCATTGCCTCCTTGGCGGACGGCTCCGTGTATGCCTACCTTGGCATAAGGGAGTGTTTTGGCATGGCGGAACAGTCTGTTAAGGTGGCCACCACCAAAGAGTTCAGGAGGCGATTGCGGCTGGTGACCCACACATCTCTCAATGCCTGCAACCTCTCTCGTGCTATTAACTCTTATGTCATCCCAGTGCTGTCGTATGGCTTGTGTATTGTGCCATGGACGAAGGATGCTATTGCAACCTTCGACAGGAATGTCCGAAGTGCGCTCCGCGCAGTGGGAGCACACCACCCACGATCTTCCACCATCCGCTTTCACCTGCCGAGATCTGAGGGCGGCCGAGGGATTGTATCGGTTGAGCACCTGCTGGAGAGGAAATACATCCGCCTGTCTAGGTATCTCCAGGCGCACTCTGACCTGCCGCTGATTGCTGCGCTGCATGCTCATCATGAAAATCTTCCGCCTACAAAGTCGATCATCTCCCGGGCGGCCACGGCAATGGAGCACTTCAACATCCTGGACATCGGAGGTGCAACAACTGACGTTGTTAAGTCTGCTATCAGAACCTCCACCCAAGCTTCTCTGCGGCAGAAGCCCCTGCATGGTCGCTATTGGCAGAGGAGTGGCGGTGTATTGGACATGCCTCTCTCATTCAACTTCTTAAAGTCTCCAACATTGCGTCCATCCACTGAGTCATCCGTATTTGCTGCTCAGGATCAGGTGGTTAATACCAGGAACTACCAAAGATCGGTTATTGGCGACACTTCCGTGGTGGACGTGTGCCGTTTGTGTGGAGGTCCGGGGGAGACTGTTGACCATATTTTGGCATGCTGCCCCGTGTTGGCACGGACGGCATACATTACTCGCCATAATCGTCTTGCCGCTATAGTCCACCGGGCACTCTGTCATCGCTACAGACTGGTATCTCCTGCTCCCCCTGGCCACTTGCCACACTACGTCGAGGATAGTGAAGGCCGTAAGTTAATGTGGGAAATGCCAATCCCTACAGATAGGATGGTTGGAGCAAATCGGCCGGATCTTGTGTGGGACGATGGCAAGTCAGTCCAACTTATTAATGTCAGTGTGCCACTGGATCATAGAGTAACACTAAAACATGGTGAAAAGAGAGCGAAGTACTTGCCCCTCGCAGTGGAAATTGGGCAGATTTGGCAGCGAGAGGCAGTGTCCGTAGTGCCCATCATAGTTGGTGCTCTTGGTGGCCTGACGAAGGAAGCGGCTACCTCAATTAAGCAGCTATGTGGAGAAGAGCGGCACCTTCATGAACTGTAGCAGGCTGCTATCCTTGGCTCGATGGCCATTCTAAGATCTGTTTTGGGTGCAGCATAGGGCTCTTCGCTGTCCCTGGTGGGCTTTTTATGCTCTGTATGTTATTGTATTCGTTTTAGTTTGTAATTGAAACACTGTGGTATTTCTGTGGGTATTCGTATTTGATCTTTCTGTGGGTGCGCATTGGAGGTTGTGCCCAGTGATGAGCTTTGCCGGCCTGAATTTTTCGCCAACTTCTGATGCTCCCCTTTCTGCAATACCTGTTGCCATGATACCTCTGAGCTTTAATGCCTGTGATGGTACATGCGCCTTTCTCCCTTCCTCTCTCTCTACCTTACTTTTTTCCATATATTATTCCGTGCTGCTTACCTTTGGCTATGATAAGTCCGGTGAGTTTGTGTAATACCTCCAATTTTTATTTTTATTTTCAATTTGGAGTGGAATAAAGACTCATAATAATATAATCATGTGAGTGTTTGTATGTTAAGTGAAGAGTGTGAGTGCTGTAACGAATTCTTTCTGTTTGCATAAATCTGGATCACGAGTACGAATAAACATGGCTTTAAATACGGAGAGTAGACGAAAACTACTAGCATAGCACACTACACTGAAGCAGGAATCATCATACAATTGCAAACACTGGGGGTCGGACACCAAATGCTTGAGTACAGCAGATCTACGAGTACTCACAAACATTGCACACTGCCGCGGCTTGCTGCTCATGAAATCACGCCTCCAATAGTGCGATCTTTAGAATATCAGTGTTTCTTGTATTAGTTTTAGATTTAATAATCTACACCTCATGATACCATAAATAAAATAGTCCCCTTTGTGTACAACATTTCAATAGATCGTACCTCAGTCAGTCCTGTTATATTTCCAAGAAATAAAAATTGTACATGTAGGTCGAAAAGAATATTCCCAGCTGTCCTTTGAAACAATCGTGGAAGCGCCCCGATGGTGGTTCCAGAGTTACGAAGCCTGAAAATCGAATCGCGGCGAATGTGGCGCAATAGCAGCGTGCGCAGATTTGAATGAGGGATTTCCCCAATATTCTGGGCATGTAGTGACGGTGAAACACGGTCAAAATGGCATACAGACTAGTGGCAGTTTGTGAACTTTCAGAATTAATAATTAGTTGTTACGAGCAAGGCTGAGAGCGAAATGGCAAGACGACTTCTGTTGGATTATTGGCGTGGCAACTAAGACACTGGGATATAGCGCCAGGGTTTTGACATTCGTGATGGCAAGGGTAGGCTCCTCTTGCAACGAGCTTTCCAGGAAGCCCAAGATTGAAAAAATCGTCAAAAGGAGACCAAAGTCATAGCCCGGAGAATTATGGAATTTGAGGTGAGTCGATATCAAATAATTCAGTCGGTGTACATTTTCCGTACATAAAGGGCTTCAGAGAGCATGATATCTTGCGCGACTGTTGACGTAATTGTTGATTTGGTGCCGAGGATCAGTTCATGACTTGTATTTCTCGTCCCCTGGTGCTGTTGTCAGCGTGTTGTGGTCCCTGGCGATTTCATTCAAAAGAGAGGGCTAGGACGTGGATGTTTTAGTGTTGGTAGATTAGTGGAAGGGAATGTGGCCTCGCTCTTTGTGTGATGCATTAGGCCACCCTTTATTAATTCATTGTTTAACGTCCTTTTTTTCGCGAAAAGGTACGCGGGAGGGCGAAAAAATACGAAAAGCCCATTCCAAAAACTGGAAACCCCAATCAAACATTTTGACCAGTAAAGCATGTGATATATACAATATTTCTGGGTCTAACGGCACTTGCAGGCATAGAACAACACTCTTTGATGGTACATTGGAGCACATGCCTGATGAATCCAACAAAGCAGGTACATAGCATGGAATTAGCATGTCATGAATTCATTACATCTGGATTTTTACTAGGACACACACCGTACGATATTTAAAGCCAACAAAAATGAAAAAGAACGCAAGACAAAGGCATGCCCCGGAGGCAAGATCATAAGTTTAAGGTCATGATCGGCACACTGTGAAACTACACAATCATGTATTTACAACTTCGCATATTATTGGTACTACTACTTTCTTTTCTTTTTTTCGGTCACAGGCAAAAAGGTACGCGGGCGCGGACGTTAACAAGAAAAAAGAAAGGGTGGCCTTACCCTGAATTAACTTAGAACTAATGCCCTCGTAGTCAGCATTATTGGCCTCATTGGTTTCCAGATGTGGGTAAAGATTATGTGACTAATCGAGCGGTGCTAAACATGTTTGTTGTTTGTTTGTATTTATCTGCAAGAACCCAATAATATGAGAGCATAATGTGACAATGGCTGCGGCCAACATCTTCGTGTTCTGTTTCTAACAGATGTCAATCCACACTGTACTGTCATTGGTCATCTGCTACTATGCACTCACCGGTACTACAATGATGAGTTGTCCAGCGACATGTTCGTGTAGTGGTGCACCTAGTTACACTGTAAATTGCTCCAATCGCAGCTTAACAATGGTGCCTGGTGGAATACCGAACACAACAATGACTCTGTAAGTTACCCATCTTGGAACATGCCATTCACACTTTCCACATCCGTTACACAGAATTGTTGGCATTTGCAATGTGATGGGATGATCTGCTCAAAACTCCGTATGTAATGGATATTCATGATCCATTGTTTATTAGAAAGCTCAGGACAAGAAGAAGCCATTGTAGCAAGTCGCATCTCAATTTAACACTCTCACCACCAGCAATACAGAAATCGACCCAATGTTTTCAGTTCATTACAAATTGGGGATCAATGTCGTTTGAAGACCTGGGCTTTCGAGCAAAAGCATCGCATTTATTCCTTGGTGAAGAATCGTTGGATGACAAAGCTCAAAGGGTTGGTTCACATATCGCCGGTACGCGCCGGGAGTCAACGGGAGTGTGCCTCTGGCAACTTATCCTGGCGCATTGCGATTATGTGAACCAGTGCAGTCGTAAAAAAATCATACGGTAAAATATCGTGAAGGGACCGCCCGCAAAGTTGGACAGTGCCCAGCTCTTGCGATCTGCCTCGGCGCCGATCCCGTACAATTTTGACCAAAAGTGGTTTGTGAACTGTTCGCGCCGGTGATCGCTGGTGCCGGGAGCCAGACTTTGTCAAAATTTCAAACCAAGACTCATCCTAAATTTTCCTAAATTGAAGGTAAAGATGAGGTCCGTTCGCCATTCTTGTAGCCGTTTCAAGGTGGCAAATTAAGGAGGCCCAGACCACCAAACTCCAAAAATAAAAAAAACATGGAAAGTTTATATATATATAAACTTGGGAATTTGTCCCTTGGGTAGTGCTTATGTTGATTGTCCAAAACATTGGGTGGGGTCACCGATATGTTTGGCGTCACATGAGTTTTTTTTTAATAAGAAAGAGGTGTTGTTTCCTATTGAAGTGTATCTTCGTCAGATTTTTTAGTCTAATCTATGCAGGCTGGAACTATGACGCATACTCACCATTGATAATTGTATTATGTTACTTTACTTAGGATATTACAACAATTTGGTGCAATTCGCAATTGCAGAAATATACAGTCAACTTTGCTTATAACGACACTCAGCGGGTCATCACAAATTTGTCCTTATTCGTGAAGTATCTTTATACCCGAAATCTCATTATGTATTACAGTGGGATGAGACTTTGCGCTGGGCATGAAAATTCTGTCGTTATTCGCGAATTGTCATTATATCCACAGTCGTTATTGGCGAAGTTGACTGTAGTACAAATGCGTATGTATTCTGCACCATGGTTCAAGAATGAAACATGTATTCAGTGAATAGGTCTGGGAACACATGGTTGACAGAATAAGATCTTTGTCCAATACTATAAACTAGGATTTACCGCAGTGATAACGGAGTGAAAAATAAAAATCACCGTGACAATAGGCCGTCGAAGTCTGACATCACAGCTTCTTGACAACGCGTAGTTACTTGGCCAAGTGGTGACAATCAAAAGTCGCGTCACCTGCACTTGTCGTGTATCCAGAGGCAGCAGCATGCAGTGAACACAGCTAAAGCATCATTTTGACTGAGGAGCGCGCGAGCGAGACTATTTATTTCAAATAAACTGCGACCGGTCGCCGAGTTTGTAGTTTTTGCTTTGTAGAGAAGAAGAAGTTGTAGCTGGTTTTTTGCTTGACCACTGCTGTGCCTGTACTGTCGTTCGACTTTTACATGTAGTCGTCGACCAAGAAGCAATGATGCGTGTCTCTGTAATTTCTATTGCAGCGATCGCTGATTTCTTAGTTCTGAGATCAACCAACTCTGGGCGGAGCTCGTTTCTTTGTCCAGCGGCAAGCAAAGGCCAGAACTCCTATCTCTCAGGTGCTGGTGAACACTCAGCAGGAAAACACTGCACGATGGCTTGAGAGCGAAGGAGAAACGTCTTGAAGTAAAACAAAATGTGAAGTCGCTATCTGCACCAGCGTGCCCCAGTCAAAGTGATGCCGTGACCGTTGGAAACACGACAAGCGCAGGTGACGCGACTTTTGTTTGTCACCACTTGGCCTTGTAAATACGTGTAACTACGAGTTTTCAGGCAGCGTGATCTAGGCACTTCGACAGCCTATTGGGTTGTGTTTTGTGTATTTTATGGTATATACACGCAATAAATATAAACTAATGTAAAATTTGCACAGCCAATATGTACAACCAGACTGTATCTTCAAAGGTGGCATCCTCACACAGCCAATATGTACAACCAGACTGTATCTTCAAAGGTGGCATCCTCACACAGGCAATCCTGCAGTACTGTCGATATACAGCAATGGTTCCAACTCAAGACAGATCGGGCAACAAAAACATAGATGGATAATGAACACATGAAGACAATGACACGATACAATCTTTCATCTAGTAATCTCAACTCCACGATCCGAACACACCCAGAGAATTCAATCGTCGATGTCCAAGAAGGAATAGTTAACGTGGCTGACGAAGACACAACGACGATGAGTGGTGGGTGAGCATCTATCACGAACGTTGAGGTGACCATGCCAGGCGGAAATCAACAAATGAAAAATGTGTGATACAGACATTCGTCCCACCAGGACATCCTCAGGCATAAGCACGACTTCCCCCTTGCATCCTTCTGCCTCATGCTGCCCAGAGTCGTGCTCTGGTTCTTTAAGACTCACCAATCTCAGACTCCACAACAGGCTCGACTTATTGTGTCGTGTTATTTCTCACGAAAGACTGAACGCGATGTGCAACTCTCTCCTTGGAACACCAGCTTCGAACAATATGCAGCAGCGGCATTATTGGCAGCCCAGTGCTAGAAATAAGTAAATCGAACCGGCTATACCATGCAAAGAAAGGAAAGGCAGCCATTACAAACGCCATGGCAAAAGCAAGAAGAATCAAAACACAAAGCCCAATAATTTGAAGTTTGATGAGAGCACGCGGAAAAAGTACAAATATTACGTTTGCATGCTTCAAATCGCGCTTACAAAAGTACCAGCACACTTCGCTCGCGTGGCAGTGTAACAGGTAGCCGAGTGGTAGGCGCGGTGCAATTAACAAGAGTTAGTTTTATTCTTCTTCTCTCAGGTACACACATGGGGTATAATTATTAGTAAAAGAAGAAGCGGCAAATAAATAACTTTCTCTCTGGTGCACACCTAGAGGTTGACTACTGCTTCTTCGAGTTAGCTTTGTCGTTGTTATCTTATCTCATTAAAACAGAAATGCGCAGCAGCTTTTACCCAGAAGACCCCGTACGCTTATGTACGGAGATACACTAAATATACATAAGGTCAAGTTATGTATTACTTCCGTATTACTTCCGTATTAGCCGGGCAGGGATACTACACCCTCCCTTCCTACAGATAATCACGCCCTCGTGATTTTCAAAAATTAGCGAAGAGTGATGATAATGCGGGAGTGTGGAGAGTGTGAGAACGAGAGGCTGTGTGTAGGTATGTGTATGTGGTGCATGCGTGTGTGGTGCGTGTTTGTTTGGTGTGTGTGTGTGTGTGAGAACGAGAGGCTGTGTGTATGTGTGTGTGTGTGGTGCATGTGTGTGTTTGGTGCGTGTGTGTGTGTGTGTGTGCGTGCGCGTGTGTTTAGGTGTGATAATGCGGGAGTGTGGAGTGTGTGAGAACGAGAGGCTGTGTGTGGATTAGTGTGTGTGTGTGTGTGTGTGGATGAGTGTGCGTGTTCATGTTTCACCCAGCACCTGAGATGTTGATTCTGGCACGTCAGAGCATACTGCCTCTGGGAGGTGTTGAATGATTATCATATTGTCTGCACTGAACTATTCTATCTCCTCTGCTTGCCTTCATATACCTGCGTTTTTCTAATCTCCTTATGCTGTCTGATGATTGGTTTTTGCCATGAAACTCTGAGTCACAACAAAAACAGCCCTATATACTTCCTTTTGTGTACCTCTTGCGTACTACGCTCTGCCCATTTGGGCATTTGAGTACTATTGCAGGTTAAGGCACACACCCTCTGTGAAAAAATAGAAATAAATAATTGAGTAGGAGCACTACAGACTAGGTATTTCCTAAATCGGCCCGTTTTTTCGCCTGATCGGCTTTTCGATCCCGTAAGGGGGCAGCCTACCCATAAATTTCATATGGCGTTCAATTGACCGTAACTTTGGTGTTTCTCAATGGATTTGAGTGAAATTTAGACCACACACTCCTGCATCTATGCTGGCCCTCAGGACATGATTTACAAGTTCTTGCGCCTCACTGACAGGCTTTCCAGGCCAGAAAAATTCAAATTTCCGGCAAAGTGCCACGGTGTGTGAGCCACCCAGGAGCAAAACAAATACATTTACAAATTTTTCACATTTTCGTGCCCATTCTGTCCGTGCGCGGGACCCAAACCTAAAACAAGTCCAGAAGCAGCCATGGGTGGTGGGGTAGGGCCCCTCAACGTGGCCCTGCAATCTGTCACAACGGAACGAGTGGGCGTTCTCTCACAGACTCCCACAGACTCATCTCAATTTTTGATTTTTTTTAGGTTTAGCACGTGCTACGAGGTCGTACCTTTGATGGTGGGGAGAATGTTGCAAACCACCAGTTCTCAAGTGGGAAAGGCCTTCGCGCTTATGGCATTGTATTCGTTGCAATGTTGTATTTCGACTCCGCCATACCGCTGATGTTTGGTGCATGGCATACGCTATATGCGCTGTGTGCAGGTTACAGTATACGCTGTCATGTCATGTTTTATATGTGTATGTTTTTCATACACATGTACGCTGTTTTGCATGCTATAAATATCTGGTGTTATTAGTGTTCATTGTAAATTATTCGATGAAGTGAAATATACTGTGCAAGAGAAAAGAGTTGTCCTCGTGCCGTGTGGTCGTTCGATCCTGACAATTAAGAGAATCTCAGAGGGTTCATAACAACCATATTTTCGTGGATGCAAATCAAGTTTCAGTACACGGCGAGTGTGGCCCACGCCTCTACCTTTCGGCAAACACGCACAACGGATTAGTGAAACGACTCCTCTGACCGCTGCTTGCCTGTCAGCAACGTCTTTTACACTTTGTCTAGCGTCT